CTCCAGCTTCCACCCCTACCTAGGTAGATGTTCATACAACTTATGAATCCTAGGATTACTGAATGTAGAAATGCTGAGGAATTAGTCTTGGAAATGGCTCTTCGTCGTCCCATTCATAGACCCCTCGCCAGTCTGCCTTGAATTTCGAACTTATGCTGCAAACAGCTACAAGAGTACCACCGTTATTTCCTTTGAGAGATACAGGTAGCGACGAACCTACAAACTCGCGATGGATAGGTGTATCTATGAATGTCGGTACTAACAACGCACCGCGATCGCTATCCGTGAGGAAGGATTTGCGGATTATCTCGAGCTGTCCGGTGTTGCGAGAGTCGGGGCCGCATTTGAATCTGTGGGCACAACACCACCAGGAGAGACCTTCTTCTTGCATCATGCAAACGTTGATAGCACTTTCAGACTCGCTAAGGTGAGCGTGCTTTCCGCCCAAATTCTCATCTGCCATGCTCATAAGTGCCGGGTATTGTGGTGCCCAGCTCAGGCCTTTAACATTTGAGAGGCGTGGCGTGTTGGTCATCAAAAATCCACATCCGAAGCTCGTCTGGCGCGGCATCTTCATCAAGCTTCGCCACATGAGCTCAGGTGTTTCATATGGCGTGTTACCAAACATGAGGCTCCAGATTATGGTTATATCTCCATCTCTTGAGGCATGTCGCCTGCTTAGGAGCGCTGCAGAAGCCTCGATACTTGTCCGAGGAGTGAGACTTCTAGGATTATTCTGTTCTTGAATCGCGCGCTCGGATGCCGGTACTAGATGCTCGGCGGTAAGATAAAGGATAGCGATTTCAATAGCTCCGTAAAGAGAGACGATACTTAAGGCTTCATGTAATGAAATGATCTCATTTCTTGGGCACAGTATATGAATATTCTGTCGTCCCCTTGCCGCCTCTAGGAGTGTCCAAGCGCGCCCGTTCCAATCCGCAACTAGTAAAACGACGAGTAGAGTTTCCAAAAGGTGTATCACGGAAGTATCGTACGGTATGGTGTAAATGTTTTCTGTGGTAGGCCCTTCAAGTTGTTTCAAACATGTAAATTTTCCGATGTCTAGATCCATCAGATCTCTATCACAGATGAGAGTTGCTTTGCTGTTTTCGAAGACAGGGTTAATCTGTTCAATGGCTTCTCTCCTCAGACCATGGTCCTGAGGAATACAAGGCGTATCCATCCAGTACGAGTCGCAGTCCATCTCTTTTGCTAGTGTAGAATACCGTTGATGAAGACAGAGATTCATGCCTCCCTGACTCTTGTTAATTGGATTTTGCTCTGGTCGCCCACCCTGACCATGGCTCCACACATGCGAAATAGCAAGTGTCGTCTTCGAGGCGCGGCAATACTGTAAATCCGACTTGGATGAAGAGATGCAAACTGCTTTCGCTCCTTTTACGCTCCGGTATGATTTTTCGTTCCAATATAACCTTTTGCAGCCATGTTGGAGGCTAGGACATTGTTCGTCGTGCGCTGACTGATCGATGATGGTGGCACCTTTGAACCGTTTGCAGTTCGTGGCTGCTTTGCCGTCACATTGCAAGGCTTCATATGATAGGCATCTAGCAGCGCGTGATCCGAATGCATCACGGAACCGCTGATGGAAACAACTGAAGTCGAACGTTGCTGCTGATCTCTCTACGCAGAGCGACCGAAACGCCCAGGGACACATATATGGTGGGAGCCTTGAGATATGTCCCTCGCCACTATCTTTAAAGACATTACTAGATATTGCGGTCCCTCTCATTGACCAATAATTGTTAGTTGCAAATCCTCCTGTTAGGTGGCTTCTCAAAGACTGCCTGAAACAATTACCAAGATACCACCCGTTAATATCAATGACATTCCACTTTGGTAAAGAATTTCAGTGGGTATCAAAACTTACCATAGCATCATCATTGATAGCCTTTGCCACGATGACCAGAGGAAGGCCCGTGTAATGAAGATAGAACAGATTTCTGACTGATCAGTAGCCTCAAGCTGCATATGACCCAACGTTTCGAGAAGGTCGGCAGTGGTATCGACAAGGCGTCGGACACCTTGATGGAAAGGTATAGGATCCATACATGCATTGGCTAAAGCTAATAGTAAGACGTTGGAGTTAAACGTTGTCGCAACGAGTAATTGTTCCCAGGAAGCTTTAATAGGCACTGTATTAGAGGCCTGAGGCCTAAAGTATCTTGGTGATAACATCCTTAAGTACTTCCCCGCCTCGCTATAGAATTCAACTGGGGTCTTCGGAAGCCTTGTCAAGATTGCCAAAGCTGCTTCAATAGGAGAGCTTAGATTGCTTTGGATTTCTTCTTGCGCCAGGGAACACCCAACTAGCCCGCTATATATCTTGTTCAGACACGATGAATGGTCATCCGTGTTGGCTGCTGCGGCGACAAGATTGATGCAATACTCTTTGATCGGTATACCCTGATCTTCCGACGCGTTTTTGGAGCGGGTTGCACCATGAAGGTAAATCTTGTGTTCAGGGGGCATTCCCGGAGCGAAACCGCTGGTTCCATGGCCAATCTTTTCCGACCCGTAGCATTCGAAGCTGGTCTTAGGAACATCTGATAAATGAGTCTTCCAAATAAGCGCCAAGTCATACTTCAGGGCAGAGAAGGCGTTTTCCTGGATATCAGAGATAATAATGCTATTTACGCGATTCGCATGCCACAAATCTAGAATGTTGCGGCTAGTTATTAGCAAATGATGTTTTTATAACTTATAGATGAGGCATGTTTGAACGAATACGTCGACATGAGATGAGGTTCCCATGTGTCGGCTTATGTCATCATGCACGCGCTGACGTTATAGGGCTACTCCAGGCGTCCAACGCGCTACAGTTGCGTCCCCATAGCGGCCATGTACCTAAAAATACAGTGCATTGTCACCATATAGTAAGTACCACCTAGGTACCTAATTAATACACGTTGGGCACTGGACGGAAATCAAGATTCATGTAAGTTTCAAGCACTAAAGCTTGTAGATAATCATAGATTCCTGCTTGAAAATGAACACCGCGTGTTATCAATTAGATTTTTTATCGCGACCATCTTTCACAATTACAGCTTACCTACCTATGCGATATTGCGAAGATCCTTCTCACAAGTGCAGTGTCTTAGCCCAGTATCTGCACTGTCATGATAGGTACAGTTCAACTCTGTAGGGATATACCAATGACTAGGTGAGTAGAAGACATTGTGCAACTAGTTGCACTTGCAAGTCGAGACGAAAAGCCTGGCTATGAAGGAGTGGGTTAACACGTAATGATGATAGAGGTCGAATCCCTGAATCACTGCCCCAGGCTGGACCGTCACTGATGTGTAGTCCCTCGACATAAGATCAAACTTCAACCACCGAATGAAACCCAGGGCATTCTTCTTTAGAGACCAAACTCGACCTATCCTTGTGAGTGTACGTACAATACCTAAGCGATTTGAAAAGCTTATCGCCTAAGAATATAAGCGTAGCCATTTATCCTTTCAATCAACCCCTTACCACTGCTTAAGTAGAACGATGTCGGACAATCTTACAGACGAACAGAAGAAGCAGTTTGAGGGTAGGATGAACCCAAGAGACGATTCCAAGAAGCAGCGCGACGATGAAGCTGAGGCGTCAAGGAACTTGATTAATAGTATGGGAATGATCATGATGATGACGGCGGACGCCTTGAAAGCAAAACGCCAAGCGAAAGACGAGACGAAGACAACAAATGGAAGTGAGGACCATAATTCAAATCAGTACAAAGCCAACTGATGATTTAAAGACCATTTTGACAAGTTGAGATATAATTGGGAACCTGATGAATGCTACCCCTATATTACGTTGTTACATAATCATGGAATAGGGGGGACACAGGTGCTATAACTCAATATCGTCTTCGAATCGATTAATGTAAAATATCAGGAGTCGAAATGTGATTCTCTAATTGACTCTATTTGAATCGATACAAGTGCAGTAAAAGACGTGTGTTGAATTTTAATCCGATTGTATTGGGTTAAATGTCTGCTACCCCTTGGATTACGTAGTTAGGATTCACCGCTTACAAAAAAGGCGGAATTTCCTAAATGGGCGATAGTAGGGATAGATGATTCAACATGTTTTTTTCACATTTGGTTGCAATTTCGACAAGCTGTAAAGTTTTAACAATCTCCCCGTAAACCATAATATTCTTTTTTTTGCTCCCTCACTTTTAACTGTAACAGGTTTAATCAGGTAGCATAAATGTGAAATTGTGTACAAATGTTAAATGATGACAATACTGCTTATGTAATTGTCGAGTGACTTGATTATATAACTCAAAGATTTGGTCTAAAGGATGACTCAGCTGGCTAACGAGAGATTACATAAGAATTGGACTGATTGACTCGAGATTCTGATTAAGGACATGATTTAAAGACTTGTATCAGGACTCACAAAAATTAACAGTTGTATGGGCTGTGAGGCCCAGACATTATATAAGAGGTCTTAACCAAAAGAAAATCGTGGAAACTCATGTTTTTAAGCTTCCCAATGCTGTAAACATAGACTTGTCTTTACGAGTTCTTAGTCATTGTTATTAGTAAGCCAAGAACAGAAAGCCCTATAGTACCACAACTATATGAACATATATTAATAGTATATAAAGTTGGTTCTATCTGTTTGGCGGGAGTTTTCCGGGAAGCGAGTAGGCCCCTATAAGACTCCATTTCCAGTCTTAAGACAGGCATAATCTTCATATCTCAAAGAACAAAAGAATTCTCGGTCGAGAGCGCTGACTAATAATAGCCCATCCCGTACAACTTAGTCAGTGCTTACAGACCAACCGCAGTGGAGATCCCTCTAAAATTCCAGGGGCGGGGCTTGCGCCCTGTCCAATCACGATATTCATGTGAAAGAAGCCAACCAACAAAATTGCAACTTTCCCCATCAAAGAAACCAGCTTTCATTCGTCCGCTTCACTCTGATGACACGTAGAGCTCGAGCCTACGATATAGACCGCCTCACCGCGCAAATTCTTCAACGCCCGCTTGGCTTAGTGGTAAAGCGCATCACTAGTAACCTGTTCTAGTGTTATGATGAGATCACTGGTTCGATTCCAGTAGTGGGCAGTCACTTCCTTCCTCGAAAGAGAATTTGTACGAGCGAATTCTCTTTTTGCATTTCCGAAACGTTCGGACACGGCGCACGACCTATCGGCTAGACCGATGACACTCACCACCCTTCCTTAGTTAATAAATCTTCGATCTTTTTACAACAAGCCCATTTTCAAGGTTCAATCAAGCATTCTAGAAGATTACCTACTTCTCAGCTCGACTGAATTGACCATAAGTCCAACAAATGCAGCCAAGTTGTGAATAGGTGGTGTGGTCTATAAGGGTATACCAAGATGACTAAGGATTGCTTAGTCAGCAGCTCACTTGAGATTTGTCATGTGACATCCTTACTCGTTGAATTTGCAAACCATCACATCCAAATAGGAGAGACTAGGCGGTATGTAGCCTCACTATAGAAAATGATATGAAAAATGGTATAACATAGAAATTTGCACAGCCGGCTTAAATTCTCGATCGTCACATATTCATCAAGCAATAGGACGTTTAATCGTCTATGTATAATCTATTTCATTCATCTACTACTAGCTCTCAACGAGCCACGCGAATACCAAGTATCCACGTTCTATCATGCCATTCCTTCCGTCTAAATTAACGCCTATATGAGACCTCTCTATTGTGCGGTCGATTAAGATGCCAATCTCCAATTCATCCCCGATTCTATGGACGACTTAATCATCTACGGGAGCCAAGCCCGGGGAGAGGAAAAGTAAAAACCACCACCTGCTCTGAAATAAATGCGTGCCAAACTCACGTGAAGCATCATGCCTGCTAGAAAAGATCGAAACATCATTAATCTTCGTCGTCCGTGTCCGCGGGGTGAGGGGTACCCTTGGGACTGTTGAGCCATTCGATGTGTCGGAGACGGCGGCGGACTTCCTGCTCCTTCAGCTCCTTCTTGGTCTTCTTCCTCTTCTTCTTGGCCTTGAACTTCAGGGGTGAGTTATCTTCGACGCCGGAGTTGACAGCACTGCTCACAGCACTGCTAGCAGCTGTGCTGTTGACTCCACTTGTGATGGCGCTAGTGAGACCGCTGTTTGGCTTGCTATCCTCGAAGCGATCCAAGGCGATCGAAACATTGCCCTTCATGACCATCTTTCCGTCGTTGATGTGCCATTGCTCTGTGGAAAGAGCGCCAACGAATTCTTCGTTGTGGGAAATCATGACAACACCACCCTTAAAGTCGCGAATCGCCACAGCGAGACCACCGAGGGAATCACGGTCCAAAAAATTAGTAGGTTCGTCAAGCACAAGCAAATGTGGGTTGTTCCACATAGCGCCGGCGATGACAACCTTGACCTTTTGACCTCCTGACAAGCTGCCAATTTCATTGTGGTTAGCAATTTCGGGGTCAAGGCCGAGGTCCTCGAAGTGCTTAGAGATAACAGTGGGTTGAAGTTCTCGGTATCCGAGACCCTCACGAGACGCTTCGTGATCGTCAAATTCCTGCACGAGCTTATCGAAACCCCATTCAATAAGGGTCTCACGAGACACTTGCGAGTTGTACTTTGGCAGCCAAGCTCTCCATTTCCTAGATATTGTTAGCACCAGCGTTTTCGGGTAGAATTACACAACAGCCCGCTTACACTTCATATTGGAATGTCTTCTTGTACTTCTGACGACCAACAAGAGCCTCGACTTGTCGTTCGCCCTTTCCGTCGTTGAGATTAATTCGCTTGTCCATCTGCTCCATGTCCTTGTCGGATAGAATACGAGTCTGTTTCAAGAACACTTCTCGGTCGTCTCCATTAGCGTATCGCCATTGCAGATACTGGTTAGGTGTTTTCTCGAGATGCATCTCTACATGCTCAAGAGCGTGCTGCTTGATGTAACCAATTCGCAGGTTAGGGTGCTTTTCGACCTTTCCGCTTGTTGGAATGACCTCGCCTGTCAACAATTTGATCAAAGTTGACTTTCCAGCACCGTTGGGTCCGATAACGGCGACACGGGATGAAAGAGACAATTGGCAGGAAACGTCGCTGAGCGAGGGTTTGGGCGCCTTAGGATACTGGTAAGAAACTCCAGTCATACGAATGATAGCTCTGGTTTGCGACTTGACACCGGTGAGAATACCCGGGGGCGGGAATTTGAATTGAACATTGGACGCAGAAAGGGTGTAGTAAGCCTTGGCTTCTGGGCGAACCTTGACGAAATCTGAGAGGTTACCCTTAAAATGGCCAAGTTTCTTTCCGGGCTCATAATGATAAATATCAGTAGTTACGTTATCCAGGAAACCGGAGTCGTGGGAAACAATCAAACTGGTGATGTCTGTGTGGGTCTTCAAGTAATTTTCTAACCAGGCAATGTTGGCAACATCCAAGTGATTAGTAGGTTCGTCGAGCAACAGAACATCAGCTCTTTGCAACATAGCTCGAGCAAGAGCGAGCTTCATTTTCCAACCTCCAGAAAGAGAGCCAACCTTTTGAGATTGTCTACCTTCAGGACCTGCCGTAAATCCGAACTCAGCGAGAACTTCAGAGATTCTCTCTCTACCCTCTGAAGCAATTGTAGGATCTTTGACCATAAAGTCGAGAATGCTTATGTCGGCATCCTCTCCTTGGTTATGCTCGACATAACAAGTACGAAGGACATCCTGAGGCGGGAAGCCTTCCAACTTTCCACCGGCGATACTCTTCATGAGGGTAGACTTGCCAGCACCGTTGCGACCACAAAGACCGTATCGGTGTCCCTTCAGTAATCGGAGATTGGTATGAGACAAAAGCAGCATACCACCATAGGCCAGCGAGAAATCAGCGTTGACAATTTCGGTCTCGCCATCGTCCTCTTTCTCAGGAACACCATACTTGCGGTGATCCTCAGAAACGTAGAATTCATGCACGCTAGAGGCAACAGCATCGCTGGCACCGGGCTGGTGCATCAAATCCTTTAGGTACGGCGCAATTCTAGCAGGAATTCGATCAACTTGGCGGTGGTTGGAATCCTCGGCCACCATCTCACTGATATAAGGGCGTGCAAGTTTGTAGAACTCTAGGTCGCCAGATAATCCCCCGTTCTTCTTAATCTCGGAGTCAAGGACCTTGGCGACATCATCCACAGAGCATTTCTCCACCACCGCATTATCATCGCCCATAGCCTTGTCCATAACATCCAAGGCCCTGGTCGCTAATTCTCGGACCTCGGGTAACGGTGCGCGCTCGACGACATTCTTCACACCAGGCTGAAGCTTGGGTAAGAACGTACGTGCTTCGATGGGATCGTGAACGAGCTTAGTCAAATTTTCGGTAATAACGACAGTCTGGCGAAGCACTTCCTGAGCGGTTGAGGGGTTGTTAAGAGTTCTTTCCAGGAAGGGTGTAAGAAGAGCGAGTACAGGAGATGTTACTACGGCAACAAAGGTCGTCTGGGAAAGAGCATGGATTGCCTTCTGGAGAGTTTGAGTAGAAGGGTGATGCATAGTGTCGACCAGGAGAGGAATCCTAGGAGCAACGTCGTCGTTGGATAACAGCGTAGTCAACGATTGCATCGTCAAAAGCGCTTGCTTCTCAACCTCGGACTTAAGATCGTGCATGTTGCCTTCGACTATAGGGATCAAACTAGCCAATTTTGCTCCCATAGCTTCTCTGAGGATATCCTTCTCCTGAGCCTGCTCTTTTGTGCTGCCAATTTCCAATTTCGCCTTATCCGCCATCTTCTGCATCAACTTCAAGGCGCCAACTGTACCCTGCCACTTTCCAGTCTTCTTCGATAGGTATGCGATAAGAGCGGGCAACAAGCCAACAACCATAGCCTCGGGGCTCAAGAAGCCAAAGAGCGCATCGAGACCATATTGCGCGGCGTCGCGGACCACTGTTCCTTTGTCGGCTAAAGCATCCAAGGCAACTGATATCAGACCGCCATCTTGAATTAGGAAAACAACTTCGCTTGATTGTTGGCGGGGCGGGAATTTCTCGAAGAGGGCGCCAAGGAGATTCTGGGCGCTCTCTCGTCGCAAGCCACTCTTCTTGTCGGAGGCAGCCTTCTTGAATTCCGCGATTATGCCATATTCGTGTAGACCGCGAAAACCGACGGTATTGAGAAGAAGTTCGCAAAGACCGTAGCAGGCATCGATTGAAGCAGCAGAAGTCTTAGCAGTGAAGATGGTGTTGAGAATTGAAGACACATCTTGCTGTGAAGGTGGGGGAGGGGCATCGCCGGATTTGGCCACCATTAGCGGCGGCGAGACTTGGTGAGGCATCGTGAAGAGTCGGTGTTGACAGATAATGCAAAAGAAAACAAAGACAGCCCGAGTTTTTTAAGAATTGGAATGGGCGTCGCAGAGCGTGAAAGAAGGGCGAGCGAAAACTGCCCGGAATGCCCTCGATCGTGGGCGCTGGAAGGCTTGTCGGTGAACCAGCGTCTCAAGTATTTTGTTGTGAACTTGGGAGTTGAAAATGTGAGAAAAGTGAGATTGGTTATCTCCAAAAGCCCATTTCAAAAATAATTAGCCTTATCGGGCAGCCCCTCGAAATTTTTTTTCTTCCATTATTAGTCAGCCCCACATTTTGACCATTTTGACTTTAAAGTGGATGATTTCGGGTACGTACCGGTTAACACGTTTTCTTGCTTTCGTCTCTCAGTGGAGCCTTGATCTTGAATCTTCCAATATTCATCTAGATCCCTCATTCAAGCTTAATTCCGAAACCAGTCACGGCGTGTCAATTTGAGCATCTGTTTTTGGTGAACATTCATCCCATATTGGACATGCTCGATTTGATCTATGTATGGAAAATAACTCACTTATTTCCGATGGTTTTAACGTTGACGCCATCTCAACATTCCCGTTTCTCCGGCAGCTTACACCGTCCTGAAAAAAGTCAGCCACGGACCATATGTGAACTCAATCCCAACGTATTTTCAACAGATGTTTCTACTAAACATCATCTAGACCTTGATTTCTTCATATTTCACAGAAACAATGAGATATTCGTTCTATCAAACTTCAGCTACTGAGCATCTCGAACTTGCTCTTAGAAATTTCTGAGAAAACCTGAAGCCGG